GTGTTGACTACTAAATACAAAACAAAAACAATAAAATGAAGAATACTATTTAAAAAAAAGAAATAAGGAGGGCAGACCTACTTTAAATTGGGTCTGGGAAGGCCTCTACAACTAGGAGTAATTTAAACTGAAATCCGAAGGAAAAGGCAGCTAGGTAAAAAGCTGCAGTCAAGGGGGACAAGACAGCATCTGAGGCAGAGAAGAGCTGGCGAAAGGGAAAGGACCAAAAGCAGGAAAGATGCTGAGAAGTTGGAGGAACTAAAGGCTGGTAGGGCTTGAATGTACTAATTTGGCTGCTCATTCCCAGTATAAACTTCACATCTTCACCAAAGAACCTTCCCATTCTGGGGGTGCCTGGGAGGCTCAGTCGGTTAGGACACTGACTCAGTGTCCGCTCAGGTCATGCTCAGGGTCCTGGAACAGAGCCCCACACGAAGCTCCATATTCAGTGCAGAGTCCGCTTGTCCCTGTCCCTCTGCTCCTCCCACTGCTTGCACGAGTGCACAGTCTTTCTCACAGACAGACAAACATACCTTCACATTCTGACCTCAACCTGTTTTTCCCACTCTCCTATTTATTTCCCTTGATGTGCAATCCACACTCTGACCACCCCAACTACTTCCAGTCCCACCTGCAGCACAGCACACATTTCACACCGCCATGCCACTGTTCGTGCTATTTCCTCTGCCTAAAATGTTTTTTTGAAGTCTTTCAGATCACACCAGGCACAATTCATCTCTTCCATTCTTTGTGATTCCAGAGCATTTTGGTCATAATGCATTTTTTTTTTAAAGATGTATCTATTTATGTAAGAGAGAGAGGGGAGCCTGAGTGCATGCAAGCTGAGGGGGGGCTGAGGGAGAGGATCTCAAGCAGACCCCCCCCTCCCCAGCACAGAGCCTACACAGGGCTGGATCCCATGACCTGAGATCATGACCTGAGCCAAAACCAAGAGTTGGACATCTAACCCACTAAGCCCTCATAACACATTTATACTTTTTTTGTTTATACACTTTTAAAATTGATTTATAATTAGTTGCATATGCATTTGTCTTCTCTACAAAATTAGAGAAGTTTATTATTATAAACCACATCAGTTTTTTCTGTACCTCCTCCCCAATCATCTAACCGTAAAACATAGGGCTCAATAAATGCTTGTTGATTTTAATGTTTTAGTATCAATTTTCATAATTAGGTTGCAGCTATATTATCTTAATTTTATACTAGATTACTAGTATTAAATTAAATCACAAAGCATTTGTTCTCCAACAATACAGTTTGTGATCATAACCAATTCTTTATAGAAAACCCATAGAGACTGTAATTGAGAAATGAAAAAAAATTCCTTATCATTTAGAGTAAAACAAAGGATATTTCCCTTTATAATTACTAAGACATGCCCTATCCTTAAGTTTTCTTGCCACAGTCAAAAGTCATCAGAATATAAAGCAAAAACAGGTTCACCACAATTATTTAATAAGGTCTTCTAAATGATCATTATTCCAACATCAGTCCGTCCAGATACATTCATAGAAAGTGCTAACCTCTTTTTCCCTGAATACCATTCGATGAAGAACCAATGTAAAACAAGGGGAAGCATAGCCATAAATCCAAGATACAGCCAGTCATAAAGTTCTGGAGACTCTGTGCATGGCTGACAGTATTTCTGTGCATTTGTTCTCTGTCCTCTTGGACACACCTATGACATAAGAACAATATTTTTTGTACAGATACTATTTTAGGGATTTATCTTAATATCCCAAAGTCATTCTATAAAGACATCTCATTTCAGTTTAAACATGTATACATGTGCATCTTTTAGAAATAAAAAAGAAAGTGCATATGTAAAATACATCTACATTGTATTTGATGTATCTGTATAACACTCTTTTAAAAGATTCCTTTCACCAAGTTACTGAAACAGTTGACTAACATTAAATGACAAACTTAGTTAATAACGCTACATAAAAATAATTACAGAGAAAAATTCTGGAGTTTTAATGTTAACTTACTGCCCAAGTCACTGCACTATAGCATTAATAAGTATTAGAAATTACTATAAAATTATAAAATGTTTTAAAAAAATGTTAATTGAGCCTGTCAAGAAAGATGTATTACAATTAATATGACAACACAAATAAGAATTTTATTAATGTGTCATAGTTTTATAAATTGAGTATAATGAAGAAAAAAGATATTCTACAAGAAAATATTCCAAAAGCAAAAACATTTTAGCAACAAAACAACATCGAAATGTTAATTAAGACTTACCCCACATTCTCCATATATTTCAGTTGAACCATTTTTAAATAATAGGGTCTTCCCACAGTAAAGTCCAAGGCAGGCTGGTTGAATATCGACAGCTTTTTAAAAACAAATGCCAGTAAAGTAACATCTTTTGTGATTATAAAATAATGTAATAACAGTTGAAGCACCTGGCAGAAATATCTCAACACAGTTGTTAAAAAGATACAGATTAACAAAAGTCTTGATGCACTTACTTTTAAAATCTAAAATTCCCCTTTTACACCTTGTCACTGCAGAAAGTTATATTGAAACCTTGTTGTTAATGCTATTGCTTATGGTTAAGAGCCATCAACCAGCAGAGTGGGATCTATCCCCAGAATTCAAAGCTTAACCTGGTATGCCTCCAGGGGCTCCAGCAGTAAGTCCCCTTGATTAGATGGACTAGACTTTTGCATTTCCACTTTTTAATTAGAAAGCTAACAGAGGATCACCACCCCTTATTTTTGCCCAGTCAGAACATGTACACATACACGCATACACTAAGACACACACACACACAGTATCACCTTCATTCTTAATAGAACACATTTTAATACCATAAAAGCAGAAAAGACGTAATTTCAAAATAAAGGCCAGGCCTTTAAAGCAAATAAATTCACCTTAAGAAAAAGCTTACAACATTGTCCTAACTTTGGTCATGTTTGTTGAGGACAGGTGAAAATTTCATCATCTGATCAGTATCTGGGATACTGATATCTACCTTAGAATCAACCCCCTGCTCTCAAGGCTTGGACAAAATAAAGAGCAGCTTTTCTTCACAAAAAAATACCTCAGGGCCTACAGATTGTCTTTGGCCTCATCAACAAGAAGTTATGAAACGTGTTTTGTTTTTTCTTCAGCGGAGACATCCGATTTCCTTCGTTCACTGATTCATTTATTCAATAAACGTGCATTAAGTATCAGATTCCCTGGCTAGGAACTTCTTAGAGAGCCACAGAGCAACATAACAAGAGTCCCTGCCCTCAAAGAACCTACAGCTTAGAGAAGAATAAATCTGAAACAACTGTGGTCAAATGTGAATTAATCTGGAAAATTGTGCATTTTAGGACTATTGTAGGGACCAAGGGCAGGCTCCCAAAATGAGCCACTTTGGAATACTGATTATTTTAAATAAAAGTTACTTAAGAAACAACAGGGACAAGGACATTCACACCTCTTCTGTCTCCCTGAAAGCAGTAAAAAGATATCCTTATTAACAGTGATAATGACTTTAAGGTCAAAAAAGCTGCAGAAATAAACCTTGTTACTTTTTTGCCAGTCTACTACCTTAGCCCAAACACCTGTTTTCCTTTTCCGGTAAATTCCTCACAAATTTATTGCCTCTTTGTTGATAATGTATAAAGAACTGCCTGCCTTGGTCATTTCTTTAGGTCTCAAGTTTCATAACTAGGCCTCCATGAACACATAAAACTTTTTTTTTTCCTGTTAATCTGTCTCACGTAAACTTAATTTTTAGTCCAGCTGGAAGATCCTGAAGATAGAGAAGACTTTTTCCTTCCTTTCACTATTGAATAATTTCCCAAATTCTTCATGAATTCACAACAGAGACTGCTTGGTCCACAATGCCCTTTCTCCTTTCAAATTCAAGTGGACTTTTGATTTCTTTCTCCCTGTGCTGCTGAGAAACAATAGAAATAGCACAAACTAAAATGTTTCAAATTTAATATTTTCACTTTTGCCAAGTTCCTGATTTTTTTAAATCCATGGGCTTCTTCACCTTATTTGGCATTTAATTCTTAATCAATTGTAATCACTACGCCCTAAACTACTAACAGACAAAAATGAACGGTTTCAAAGTTTTTGAGAAGACAGAAGTTAAAGAACTGGAGGCTTCTTCCACATGTGTTTTGCATCTAGTAGGTGTTTAGTAAATACGTCTGAATGTGAATAACCTGAAATTCTCAAAACCCAAGGCCCCGAAAACCACCATGATAAACTGAAAACAGCTCATCATGGACCAACCAAAACTACGGCTCCCGGTGTCCGTTCAATATCCCCTTCCCTTTCCCTTCACTGGAGGGTGGCTAAAATATTAAGACTTTTTTTTTCCTTTTTCCAGCGCCCTATAAACTTAACGCCTGATGCTCAAGCGGGCGACTTCAGCAGCGAAGAGCTTCCTCTTCCCTTACTGGCTGTCGGCCTTACTAACGCCCGCGCTTTAAATTTTGAAGTCGACCCTCACGAATGCTAAACAAAGGGACTAAAAGGGACCGAAGCGACCTCTCGCACACGACCAAGGCCTGGCATTTTGCCCTGGCACACACAGCCCGTTCCCCTCTACGGCGTGCCTCCTCCGCAGTCCGAGAGAGAACGAGACGACCCCGACCCCCAGGACAAGTCCAGGGACGGGGCGAGGCTGTGCGAGCAAGGGGCGAGGCTGTGCGAGCAAGGGGCAAGGATGCGCCGCTATCCGCAGGCCGCCCGCCGGGGCAGAGCCCAAAGCCGCCACCGTGGGGAAGAGACAGGGACTAAGACAAACGCTTCCCGACCCTTCGGGGACCACTCACCCATTGGCCGCTTGCTGGTCTCCCCGAAGGAGGTCCGGGATCAGCCGCCACTGTTAGCAGAGCCCGGACATCCGGCCCACAGCAGCCTCGGCGGCTCCGCCTCCTGGTAACCCGGGCGACCACCCCGAAGCCCCGCCCCCTCGCCCTTCCGGTCTCTGCTCCGACGCCCCGCCCCGGAGAGAACGCTCTCCCGCGGAGTAGGCGGTTGACCCGTGGGCTCCAGGTTCGCACTGCGGAAAAGTCGTCGCGTCCCGGGACTCCGGCGATGGAGAGGGCGCTGGCGGTGCCGCGGCTGCCCCCGCACGACCCGGGGATTCCGGCACTGTCGGTGGTGGACATGCACACGGGCGGCGAGCCCCTGCGTATCGTGCTGGCTGGGTGTCCGGAAGTGGCTGGCCCCACTCTGCTGGCCAAGCGGCGCTACATGCGCCAGCACCTTGACCATCTGCGACGACGGCTCATGTTCGAGCCCCGGGGTCACCGGGACATGTACGGAGCTGTGCTGGTGCCTAGCGAGTTGCCGGAGGCGCACCTGGGCGTCCTGTTCCTGCACAACGAAGGCTACAGCTCCATGTGCGGCCACGCAGTGCTGGCGCTGGGCCGCTTCGCCCTCGACTTCGGGCTGGTACCCGCACCCCCGGCCGACGTCCGCGAGGCCCGAGTCAACATCCACTGCCCGTGCGGGCTGGTGGCCGCCTTCGTGGAATGCGAGGGCGGCCGCAGCCGCGGCCGGGTGCGCTTCCACAGCGTCCCGGCCTTCGCGCTGGCCACAGGTAAAGGACGAGATCCTCCCAGCTCTGGGACGCAACTAACTACACTGTCTCTCTGGCCTGAAACTCACGCAGTGCAATTAACCCACCCACAAGCCTTTGCCATTAATAAAAAGATAACTCAATGCAAATGTGTGTCAGCATGTTAGCCTTGCAGATTTGTTCCGTGTATGCCGCAGATTATTTCGTCTGGGTCTTGAGGGCCTTCAGGAGTACAGAATTCCGTGTCTCCCTTACTAAGCGCCTTATGCCTCACTGTCAGGCATTCCTAGAGATTGCACAGTTGGGTAAGTCAGATAGGGTCAAGGCAAGAGCAAAGAACAGCCAAAGTGCCAGGGTTCACTGGCTGGTTCAGAAGACACTTACTAGACATTACCTCCTGACAAGTTACTAAACCCTGTCTTGTTTTCCTCACCTGTGAAAGTGCCTTCCCCATTTCTTTGGGAAATAATTAAATAAGAATGAATGAACTAAGCAGTTTATAAACCAGGAAGATACAGATGTTGCTGATTTTATTCTTGAAGAACAAAAACAGCTGTTGTCTGAGTCCAAATCCTGATAACCCCTTAAAGCTATGCAACTTTAATCAAATTACTAACCTCTCTGTGCCTGTATTTTTTCACTTGTTATCTCATTGAGTTTTTGGTGAGGATTTACTGAGAGTATGCAAAGTACTTAAAATTTTTAAAAAATACATTTCGAGAGACAGGAGGACTGTAGGTTTAACACCCAGTGCTCATCATAACAAGTGCCTCAATACCCATCACCCATTTAGTCTATCCCCCCCCACCTCCCCTCCAGCAACCCTCAGTTTGTTCTCTATCATTAAGAGTCTCTTATGGTTTGTTCCCCCCCCCCCTTTTTTTTCCCCTTTTCCCTAGGTTCATCTGTTTCGTTCTTAAATTCCACATGAATGAAATCATACAGTATTTTCCTCTAATTTCGCTTAGCATAATACACTCTAGTGTATTATGCTAAGCCTCCACATTGTTGCAAATAGCAAGATTTCATTCTTTCAACGGCTGAGTAATATTCCATTAAATACATGTAGGTACATACATATATACATGCCACATCTTCTGCATACATTCATCAGTTAATGGACATTTGGGTTCTTACATTTCTTACAATTGGCTATTGTTGATAATGCTTCTATAAACATCGGGGGCATGCTATTAGATCTTGATCTTTCTTGAGGATTTGGACTCTAGATTAGCCTAATTATGAATGAGGCAGTAATAGCCCAAGCATTTGTCAGTCTTAGAGCAACCTCAGACAGCTGAAACACACAGGTTGATGAAGAATTCCCCTGGGGAAACTGATGGCACTTTGACCTCTAGGAGAAAATGATGTCACATCTGGATAGGGAGGGCACTTGAGATAGACAGGAGTTTGGTTAGGATTGCATCTCAAAAATCTCAGCAGTTTAAATAGTTTAGCTACCCAATTTCTCCTTAGGCAACCCCAGCAGCAGACTGGAAGCACTCTAGCTTCAAGGGAGATGACAGCTGGCAGCAGGGTCACCAATGACATCATAGTTCGGGGCTGGCTGGGGCAGGACAGCCAATCTGTAAGCACATAGTTCCTGAGAGCAACACTGTGTGACTATACGATAATTGGTAGGTAGTAATGGTCACTTTGAGTGATTAAAAAAGATCCTAAATTCTCTACTTTGAATAATGCTAAAAGGGTGGACTGACAAGTGTTCAAGGTTACTGCTCTATCCCCTCTCCATCTTGATGACCTTGCAAAAGGGATTCCACACTTCAAGGTCATCATCTGCAAAATGAAGATGACAACAGTATCCACTTCAGAGGATTGCTGAGTTGTTTTCCATTCCACACTGCTAAAATGAAAACTTCATTGTGTTACTGTGTTCAAGTGCTGGAACAGTAGGTAGTCAATATTTGTTGAATGGGTAACTAAGTAAATGAAATTGGGAGAAGAATATGGTGATTAACAAGTGTAAATATCCTCTTAAGAACCCTATTCCCCTTGGAAATTAAATTTTTGGCCTTACCATTAACATTAACAATATTGCTCATTTGTGCCAAGCGCTCCCCACACGTTATCACATGGAATTCACACAACAGTCCTTTCAGGCGGGAATAATAGTTCCTTTTTTTTTTTTTTTTTCTGTTTAGCTCTTTCATTTTTTTGTAGTTGAAAAAAACAAATATAACATGAGATCTACCCTGTTAACAAATTTTTAGGTATGCAGTATAGCATTGTTAACTATAAGCACAATGCGGAACAGCATGTCTCTATAACTTCCTCCAACTGCATGACTAAATCTCTGTATCTATCAGGCAGTAACACCCTGTTCCCCCTCCCCAACCTTGTGCCTTGCAACTATTATTCTGCTCTGTTTCTAAGAGTTTGAAAAATTTATACACCTAATTCATGGGAGATTTTGCAGTGTTAATTCTATGACTGCCTTAATTCACTTAGCATAATAGCCTCAAGGTTTGTCCATGTTGTAGCACAGGACAGAACAGTCTTCATTTTTACGGCTGGATAATATTCCATTGTATATATCACATTTTTTTTTAAATCTCTTCATCCCTTTAGCAGTTCCATTTTATACATGAGGACACCAAATCCACACTTAGCTTTCCAGCTTCCAGCAGCCCCGCTTTTCCATCTACTTCCTCATTCTCCTTTCGTTAAGGCTGATTTTTATGTTACACGAGCATCAAGATAAAGACATGTTTCATTCATAGCTGCTCTTAAGTTCCACAGGCATATTTTACTTTTTCGACTATAAACTTGCTCTGTTTTGACACATCATGTGTTAGAAGGGCTCTGGGGGCTAGCCTGGGACTGGGAGCGTACTGACTGGTATCTTTGTATGACTCAGTGTGCAAACTCAGGCATACACGCTGTATTTTATTTTTCAGAGTTTCTGAATTTGAGACCCCATCCTGCCTTGTTGATTTGCCTAGTCTCGTCAGTCTACATGCTGTCCCCTTTCCTGATACATGTGTAGCAAATCTTCCTTAAAAGAGCCAAGGTCTTGAAGAAGAGGACCTTTTGGTCACCAGCCTGCACAGTCAGCCAGTGAAGCATCATCTTCCCCTGGCCATGTGGCCCCTGTCCCTGCCTCCCCTCCTCTTTGTTACCTCTGTCACACCATGTAGCCTCCCCGTAGTGCTGTGAGAAGTCAGCATAGGTCCTCTGCACTCCAGACCTGCCACCTCTTTCCTCGGTCCAGAGGAAATGTCTCTACTGACCAAGAGAAATACGGGGACCCTTCAGGACACTGAAGTTTTATGGAAACTTGGACACTTGGGTTTTATGGAAACCCAAGATCTTTCCCCCCAGATCTTGGGTTTCCATAAAACCTGCTTTCTCCCCTACCATACACTCTCCCAGAGGTAGTGATCACCAAGACAGCTTGAATTGGGGAGGAGGAAGAGGAAAATGCAAGAAGGAGAAAAACAGTTTGAATATCCCAAAATATTATCCAGCCCCATTCTTTTGGAAATAAAAATTTAGGATTTCAAACAACTGACATTCTGGTGAAACTTTGGGAAAGCTGGGGACTTAGAATACTCTCAATCCTAACACAAAAAATACTGCAAACATCAGTGATTCTATAATGGCTTTATTCTGAGTATTTGCCTGCTTCATGAGATGAAAATACATAGATGAATTAGTATATATAACTTACATAGAAAAATCTTTTTTTCATTTTGTTTTGACATTATAGCTGAAGAAAGCCAATTTGTGAATAGGATCCAAAATCCTATATTAAACTATTCCTATTAGGGACACCGGGGTGGCTCAGTAGGTTGAGCGTCTGGCTTCAGCTCAGGTCATGATCCCTGAAATCGAGTCCTCCATCAGGCTTCTTGCTCAGCAGGTAGCCTGCTTCTTCCTCTGCCTTCTGCCCCCTTTGCTTGTGTTCTCTCTCTCTCTCCCTGACAAATAAGTAAAATCTTTAAACGATTCTTAATAGTAGAATGAGAGGGGACTTATATTTTCTGCCCTTGTTTTCACATGTTGATGCCTCAGGATTTCCCCTCTCTCTGCCTTTATAAGGTTTTCTAGCAAAGATCCTCAAAGTAGTTAACAAAATAAGTATACATGATTTAAGAAAAACATGGCATTAGATGTTCTCAGACTTAGATGAGTATCATTAAGTTAAAAATAGATCACTCAGCTAAACGTCTATTATTATTGATGCTTACTCATTTTAAAAATACTTCATTCTTTTCTATGATAAGAAAAAGTACCCCTCCACCAAAATACACATATTAAAAATGCTCTGAATTGTACTGCCAAAATACTATAACAAATTTATTTTCAAACACATCTTTTTTAGATCTCTTAGTGGATGTTCCCGGTCATGGAAAGATGGCGGTAGATATTGCGTATGGTGGGGCATTTTATGCATTTGTTAGCGCTGAAAGGTTGGGACTTGACATTTGTTCTGCAAAGACAAGGGACCTTGTGGATGCAGCGAGTGCAGTGATGGAAGCAGTCAAAGCTCAGGTCAGTACAAACACTGCTTTCATCACAAGGTGCTCGCCCCTGTGGCATGGAGGGAATATAAATTACACATCTATGCAGTTAAATATCTACATATTTAAATCATTAATAGGACTAAAAATAAGGCATTGGTTAGGATCTTGGGCTCTATAGCAAGACTATCTAGGAGTCCCAGTGTTGCCACTTTTAAATTTTTCACAACTTGAATGAGTTCCAAACCTTCCTGTGGTGAGACGGGAATTGCAAAATATCTGCTTCATAGGGCGTTATAAGAATGAAGTCAGACAATAGGTACAAAGGACTTAGAATAGTGCCTACCTACAATAAATGTTCAATAAGTAACTTGTTAACTTTAATTATATACATACTAGTATAATTTGTGGCTATTTACACATACAGAAAATGTATCAAATAGTATTTCACTAATTTGAAATGCATATGCTTTGTGGTCATTCTCCAAGACTTGCAGATAATGAATGTCAATTAGAGCTCACAAAATAGATTTCATTAAATCTGTTCAGACCTTGTCTTATTTCACAGAGAACGTTAATTCCTAATTAGTAAATTTTTCCTATATTGCTAAGAAGTTACCTAAATGACCACTTGAGTAAGTCTTGTTTTGGTTTGGGAAAACTACTCTGATAAAATCAGTTTGGATAATAAATATGTCTAGAATATTCTTTCATTTCTAGCACAAGTCTGCCATTTTACACTTAAAATTGGGACATGGAAATAAAACTCATATCCAGTATTTGCATGTTTTAGCATATAAGAATTTCATCACTATTCTAAGTAAAAAATAACTTGTGAAAGAGTGTCTATATACTTGTATTAATAATTACTATAGGCCTATTTAACATACTTGCAACTTTAACATAATTTTTAATTTAAACAAGATGAAAATAGGGGTGCCTGGGTGGCTCAGTATGTTAAAGCCTCTGCCTTCGGCTCAGGTCATGATCCCAGGGTCCTGGGATCAAACCCCGCATCGGGCTCTCTGCCCAGCAGGGAGCCTGCTTCCTCCTCTCACTCTCTTCCTGCCTCTCTGCCTACTTGTGATCTCTCTCTGTCAAATAAATAAATAAAATCTTGAAAAAAATTAAAAATAAAATGTTTTAAAAAAAGATGAAAATATATACTTTATTTCTGTTCTAATTTGTCATTTCTCTAGAACTGTAACTACCAATAGCTAGAATTAGTTAATCATAGCAATTTCTGAGGTTCGAATTTATATCAATTTTCTGTTCACTAAGCAGACAGCTAATAGTTTGAGCTAAAATTTGGCATGAAATAACTTCACTTTATTTTTAATGAGATTAAGAGAAAAAGGCATAGTTTTCTTAATAAAAGGAGCAATTTTGGACTTGTCATTAAAGCGTGAACTTCTTACCAAGCGTGAACTTCTTACCAAGGTGGGAAGGGGTGGACTTTGAGGGAGGAGGCATTCTGAGAAAAACAGGAGAAAATCTTGTATGAGATGACCATATATAGTATTATCTATTGGTGCTGAATCAGGCAGCAGAATGACTTTGTGAACTGCTGACCATTCACACCACTGAGGCAGAGTTAGGGAAAGGCCATTTTCGTGGGGACTGAAGTTAGTACACATTCATCTTTATTCATTTATTCTTTTTTAAAAAGTATTTATTTAAATTCCAGTTTGTTCACAGATGGTATAATATGAGTTTTAGGTGTAGTCCTTCTTTTAACATTTACCTAGAATTTAGTGAGTCGCACACGATGCTATGTTAGATGCTAGAGACTCCAGGAGAAAACAAACCCGCCTTCCAGAAGCTCAGTCTGGTGGGGGAAGCAGACGTGAAGAGTGAGAGGTAATGGTGCTGTGGTGCAGGTGGGGCATGGGGGCTTGAGGAGGATGGAGAACAAAGATCAGCAGGGAGACCTCTTAAACTTGGCTTTGGATGGACTCTGGATTTTAAGAACCCAAATCTATTCACTTGTTCCCAATGACGGGTAAGTAGTAGCAGAATGTACTAATTGTAAGGATGCACGTGGAGTGAGATAATAGTTTGAGAGCTAACAGATGTCACAGAAGCTGAGGAAAAGTTAACCTAGACCTCCCGAGAAGCGCAGGAAGCACTGTGCACTTGGGCCTGACCTTGCTTTGCCACTGAAGGGACTTAGCATCCAGTGCGTGCTTCTCTCTGATTGTACCTGTTGCTTTTTATAACACCAGCTGACTTCATCCTTTACAGATTGTTTTTTCCCCTTCCAACCATTCTCTTACCTACTAGCTTCTGCATTCTTATAACTTCGGCTTGCTCAAAATTCTCTTCTGAGAGCTGAGTGAAGAGGCTTACCTAACACCCAACTCAGGCCTCTTCAGTTTCCAAAGTAACACACTTACAAAGAAGAAGCTAAGGGTGTCACTCACCCTCACAGCCTCCTCCCAGCCTCTTCCAAGTCCTCGTCTCTGCCATGGAATTTACCTCAGCTCTAGATGTTCACCGTCCGGTTCTTCTGCCTTATTCCCTTCAAGCTCATGAGAGGAAGCACAGGACCGTCTTAGCCTGTCCTGTTTGAGCAGCTGTGGCCAGTCTGTGGAGTAACCATCCTGGGGTCAGTGCTTCAAAGAGTGGGAGTGTTTGGAGAGTATGTGTGTATATAAAATAGGACTGTTCCTTTAGCAGAGGCTATATGCAGGACAAATTCCTTAGACAGGACTCAAGGTATCATAAGAATCCTAACTTCCAGTGAAACTATGTTTATTCATCTAGACAAAGACATCATTTACTGCCTTGACCCAAAAGTATTTTAAAAATGACAGAGTGAAAACTTATGCCTCAGAGGATCCCATCTATATAATTTACAAAGATAAATTTGAATCAAAATATATATTTTGTAGTAATCTACATGACAATTTATATTACATGATGATTTTCTTTGTCATTTGCAGTTTAAAATCAGTCATCCTGAGAGTGAAGACCTTTCCTTTCTGTACGGAACCATAGTGACAGATGGAAAAGACACTTATAGTGAGGAACCAACCACCAACATCTGCGTGTTTGCAGATGAACAGGTATTAAAACTGTAACATTTGGCACAAAAGCCAGACAGCATGGAACTGGAACACTGTGAATGCTTTCACCTTCATTTACTCTGAAACAGGTTGACCGAAGTCCTACTGGCTCAGGAGTGACGGCCCGAATTGCCTTACAGTACCACAAAGGGCTTCTAGAACTGAACCAGACCAGAGACTTTAAAAGCAGTACCACCGGCTCAGTATTCACAGGCAAGGCTGTGAGGGTGAGTGACTCTTGTAGCTGCTTCTGTGTGAGTGTGCTTCTTTGGAAACTGAAGAGGCCCGAGCTGGGTATTAGGTCCCAGCTCTCAAAAGAGAATTTTAAAGCAGGCCTGTAAAAACTTCTGTTCAGCTAGGATATTGGTTCTCAAAATGTGGCTTGGAAGCCCTGGCGGTCACCAAGTTCCTTTCCATGGGTCCCACAAGGTCAAAACTTAGTATGCATTAACATTAAGACATTATTTGCTTTTCACTTTTATTGTCTCACGAGTGTACGGTAGACTCTGCAGAGTCTACGCCACAGGTGATAAGCCAACTGATGAATGCAGAAGCAGATACAAGAATCTAGCTGTCTTCTGTAAAACCATACGTTAAGGAGGTTTGCAAAAATGTAAAACACAAGCGATTTTCCCCACTAAAATTTTTTTGTTTTGGCAAATACAGTTATTTTCCCAGAAATATGTTGTTTGCAATAACATGCAATGGGTTTATTATTTTTTAATGAATTAATGAACAAATACCTTTAATTCTCTCAATATAGTTAATATTAATAGATATAACCTACCTGGGGTACCTGGGTGGCTCAGTGGGTTAAAGCCTCTGCCTTCAGCTCAGGTCATGATCCCAGGGTCCTGGGATCGAGCCCCACATCGGGCTCTCTGCAAATCCTTATTCCAAGAAAAATATTAACCTACATTTTCTTCTAGGTTTTAAGGTTTTGCTTTTCACATTTTAATATTCTGAAAAATCCTTATTCCAAGAAAAATATTAACCTACATTTTCTTCTAGGTTTTAAGGTTTTGCTTTTCACATTTAAGTCTTTCACTCACCTAGAATAGATTTCTGTGTATAATCTAAGGTAGGGTGTGACTAGATTTTCCCACTTGGGTATCCCAACTATCCCAGCAGCAGCACATTACTGAGTAGTTTACTGTCTCTCCTACCCGACCCCCAAGCCCCCAAACCGCCATGCCACTTCTGCCATACAAGTTTCAGAGATTACTGGTCTGTTTTTAGGTTCTGTATTTTGTTCCTGGGGTCCAATTTTATCCCTGAGACAAAAGAATATGATAATCATCCTTGGTATTACATACATTCTTCTACTTCTTCAGTGGTCTTGGCCATTCTTGCGCCTTTGGACTTCCATATAGATTTTAGAATTAGCTTGTTATGTTCCACAATATGACTCCAATGTAGCTTAGCTACCTCAGTCTTAGCTATCTCACAATACCATGGTACTATAAATGAAATATAGGGAGATAAAAGATCCCGTATATTTATCTTACAGCCAGCCTCTTTACTAAACTCTCTTACCATTTCTATTATCTAGTCTACAAATGCTTTTGAGTTTTCTATCTAAACAATGTTTATCTATCACTGCATAGCAAACCAAAATTTAGTGGTTTGACAACCACCATTCATTATTTCTCACCAATCTGTGATCTGACTGGGCTCACCTGGGCAGTCCTATCTGTTCCATGTGATACCAATCTGGGATGCACTCATCTAGATGCATAACTGGGCTGCCGTTTTCAAAACAGCCTGTACGGCTGGCGTAGATGCCAGCTGTCAGCACAAAGACGGCTGCTGACCAGAGCACCATGTGGTCTCTTATTTTTGGTGGTCTGCAGGGTAATTACGTGAACAGGTATGAATTTCTTATTTCTTCTGCTTAGAATGTGTTTTGCTTCCCCAGGAGCAATTTTGAGAATCTGTTTTTCACTATGTCTGTAAAATCCAAAGCTAATGTATCTTTAAATATTGACTCTCCTTCATTTTCTCTATTTTTTCTGAAGACTCTGATTAGAAACTATGTACAAAGAGTTAATAAAACTTTTCCTCTGCACAGGAGACTCTGACTTTCAGTTAACTAGCTCAGTTCCTCTGGAAGCCTGGTAAGGGTAAAATGTCAACTTTATTGCCAGGTAACACTGTTTAGGATATGAACAACTCCTTGATTGGTAGACTGTACCCGGACTGGGGAGAACTATAAATAAGCAATAAATATCTAATGGGGACACCATGGTCTGGCTTTCTTGAGTTCAGCAATTCTTGTAATGGCACATCCCCAGCAGGGCTCTGGAAGCTATACTTATGGAGAGGTTTCAGAAAAAATGGCTCCTTTAGGGCATAAGACCTTAAACCTGGACTCCCACACCCACTCGTGTGGACTTTATCTTCCTGCAGCTGAACTCAACTGCTTCAAAAGCTGACGCTGCCCTGGAGGCAAGCTGTGTTCCTTCTGGGCAAGACTGGTTCTTGGTATGACCTAGGGTTGTCTACCTCTGGTAGTCTGAATGTTTAACTGAACCTAGGTGGATTCCCACAGGGATTATAGACACACACTACAGCTGCTCATTCTATGCTCCATTTCTCTTAGTATATTTCAAATTTTCTATCTCCTTTTCTCTCAGTATTGCATTATTTTTTAAATTTTATTTTTTTTTCAGTGTTCCAAAATTCATTGTTTGTGCACCACACCCAGTGCTCCATGCAATACGTGCCCTCCACAATACCCACCACCAGGCTCACCCAACTCCCACCCCACCAAAACCCTCAAATTGTCTCAGGCCACGGTCTCTCATGGTTCGTCTCCCCCTCCGATTTCCCCCAACTCACTTCTTCTCTCCATCTCCTAATGTCCACAGATACATGTATTTCCTAATTCACTAATTCTATCTTCAACTGTTCAATCTACTGATTGACCTACCATTTTTAAAATTTCATTTCTAGAAGTTCCTTTCGTTTTTTAAACCAACCTGTTTGTTCATTCCCAATAACCTCTTGTTGACTCTTGGAGGTCTTTGGGGCTGTATCCTCTATTTCTTCAAGCACTACAAGGTAGCCTACAGTCCATTATCTGCAGTCCTTTGGAAGCACACCTATACTGTCTGTTATGTTTACCCACTCTCAGTCATGGTGTTGACTTTATTTGGTTATCACGGAGTATGAGGTCATTCACAGATATTAATGAGTAAGAGTCTTAGGGCCTAAACTAAGGATGCGGGAAGCCTTCCAGAGAAGAGGATCTGTGCTTTCGCTGGCAGTCATGCCCACCACTACCTTGGGCTCCAGCCTCGAGAGTGTAGGCTTCACACCGGCTGCCTCAGATTCGGGACCTGCTGTGGTCAGCAATAAACCACAGGCAATGCTCCCCTTCCTCCTGTCTGCTTTGTCACTCTGGCCCCAGCTTAAGGTTGGCTTGTGTTTTCTTTTCTTTTTTTTAACGATTTTATTTACTTTTTTGACAAAGATCACAAGTAAGCAGACAGGTTGGGGGGGGGGGGGAAGCAGGCTCCCCGCAGAGCAGAGAGCCCAATGTGGGGCTAGATCCCAGGACCCTGGGATCACGACCCGAGCCTAAGGCAGAGGCTTAACCCACTGAGCCACCCAGGAGTCCCTGGCTTGTGTTTTCTAAAAATGGATTCTTGGAGATCTCCCCTACTTCCAGTGAAACCAGCAAGGTCTTAAATAGTTTGTCTTTTCCAAACTTCAGTTATTTCCCACAGGAGGGTCACTTGGACTCCTAATGATCCCATATTGTAGGAAGAATTCCTGCATGATTTTACACAGATGGAAAGAGTGCATACGTAAACAAACATTTATAATTTCACATAATATAATCTAATATTTTGCATCATTATAGAATTCATATTTTTAGAAGCAACAACCCAACCTCATCATTTCTTGCTATTACTTTAGTAACCTTGTCTCTTCTCATTGTGCCCCTTTCAAACTGTCTGCAGTCAACCACACGATCTTTACAGAACAAAATTGGGATTCTACAACTCCCCTTAGTAGACTACTCGTTGAGTTCCATCTGTCTTTCAGGAAAAATACCCCTTACCAGCATTGTTTTCCACCCCTCCCGGCCATGCTACTTTCCTTTTCTCCTCACACCTCCACACACGTGGGCATCCTTCACTCACCCATCTGGCAAGCTGTGCATCCTTCAAGATCAGCTCTGGAAGTTATCCCCAGGTCTTATGAATACTTCCTAAGATTCCTGTAGCCTCAACTCTCTACCCTGGTCTCATTTAGTCCCCATCTCTCACAGGACCCTCAGCTCTCACCTCTTCATTATACTGTGTGGTTTTTTGCCTCCATACTTTGGCACATCTTCTTCTTGCTGATAGACTTTTTCCTCAACTTCTATCAAAATCTACTCACTTTGCAAAGTCCAGCTTAAAGTCAGTTTTTTTCTGTGACACCGCCCTATTCTGAGAAGGAAAAATTAACTTCTTTCTTCTTCATGCCAGCCTTAAAACTCTGCATAAACCTCTATTACAGAACCTCACAAACACTATGATGGCTTGTCTATCTCATCCACCGGACTGAGAGCAGCCACATTTCAGTCCTCTCTGAATCTTGCAATGCAGCACAACATTTGGCACACTGCAAACATCCCTAGTGACCGCTCAATACATTCTAAAAGTTATAAATTATATAAAAACAAGTCACATAAGCAGCACAGCTTCTGACCATACTGCATAAAAATATGTAATTCTGCTTATCTTTGCCCTGGCCCTAAAGAAAAATTTAATACTACACTCTGGGGAAAGCAAGAGTACCAGAAAGGAAAGTTTTGATGAGAGTCTGGCCAATGCATTCCCAAGGGGTGACTTCACTCCTAAGAGGGCAAAAATTGGTTCTTGGGGATAAAATAATCTTACATTTGTTATATATAGCACATAGGTGCATACACGACATAGACAGTGATGATATTAAAATTTCATGGGCATAGGTGAAATCAGGAAAAAAGTATCTGAAAAGGCTCCTTATTTAAGGAAGTGACAATAAATAAAAGGTTGAGAAGCACTGGGCTAGTCTCAGACAGCTAGGCCTCTACTTCCTTGATTGTAAGGGCAACATCTCTGGAAAATGCAAGAGATGGCTCTGGTGTCCTTTGCTGTCAATTTCCTAGGCAAAGCATACCTAAGTTATACAAACTCCTTCTTTTTAAACACACCTGCTTTCCTGCCTGAGAACTAATCACTCCTCTGTTCTACCCTCAAACCCAACCCCACACTCTGCTCCAAGACTCTCCCTCAAAACATATCTGATGTTTTAATTCAAATGCATTTGGTAAGGTACATCTCTCTACCCCCATCTCTTCCCTGCTTATGGCTGAGACGTTCCAACCAACTAGCTGAGCAATTACTCCACTTCCCCTTTCAGTTTATCATGTCTCCTTTCTTGCCCTCGTCTCTCATCATTCTAGAACAGAAAAGCAAGATGAGAGGTGCTTTTTAAAAAAACCTTTTTTACAGATCCATCTGAAAAAGAACCAATACTTGTCCAATATAAATAATCAGCGTGGATTTATTAGGTGGGATCCAGAAAACTACTAATTCTAATTATGTCTGCCCATCCTTCCCATTCCCATTCACACTACTGGAGTCTGGTCATCCCTACTTCCTGCAAATAGCCTTCTAATATACCTCGCCTCTCATCTACTTTCTATAGAAGTTACCTTCCTAAAATATACAGCCAGTGATGTATAAACCAAAACCTTCACCAATAAATCATCCACGCAGCAGATACTAAATGAGCATCTGTTACGTGCCAGCAGCTGTGCTGGTCTCTGGAAATTCCATGGAGAACAGAGATCGCCACTGCCCTCATGGACTTCCAGTTGGGAGATAGGAGGAAACAAACATAATTATACATTGTGTTGACTACTAAATACAAAACAAAAACAATAAAATGAAGAATACTATTTAAAAAAAAGAAATAAGGAGGGCAGACCTACTTTAAATTGGGTCTGGGAAGGCCTCTACAACTAGGAGTAATTTAAACTGAAATCCGAAGGAAAAGGCAGCTAGGTAAAAAGCTGCAGTCAAGGGGGACAAGACAGCATCTGAGGCAGAGAAGAGCTGGCGAAAGGGAAAGGACCAAAAGCAGGAAAGATGCTGAGAAGTTGGAGGAACTAAAGGCTGGTAGGGCTTGAATGTACTAATTTGGCTGCTCATTCCCAGTATAAACTTCACATCTTCACCAAAGAACCTTCCCATTCTGGGGGTGCCTGGGAGGCTCAGTCGGTTAGGACACTGACTCAGTGTCCGCTCAGGTCATGCTCAGGGTCCTGGAACAGAGCCCCACACGAAGCTCCATATTCAGTGCAGAGTCCGCTTGTCCCTGTCCCTCTGCTCCTCCCACTGCTTGCACGAGTGCACAGTCTTTCTCACAGACAGACAAACATACCTTCACATTCTGACCTCAACCTGTTTTTCCCACTCTCCTATTTATTTCCCTTGATGTGCAATCCACACTCTGACCACCCCAACTACTTCCAGTCCCACCTGCAGCACAGCACACATTTCACACCGCCATGCCACTGTTCGTGCTATTTCCTCTGCCTAAAATGTTTTTTTGAAGTCTTTCAGATCACACCAGGCACAATTCATCTCTTCCATTCTTTGTGATTCCAGAGCATTTTGGTCATAATGCATTTTTTTTTTAAAGATGTATCTATTTATGTAAGAGAGAGAGGGGAGCCTGAGTGCATGCAAGCTGAGGGGGGGCTGAGGGAGAGGATCTCAAGCAGACCCCCCCCTCCCCAGCACAGAGCCTACACAGGGCTGGATCCCATGACCTGAGATCATGACCTGAGCCAAAACCAAGAGTTGGACATCTAACCCACTAAGCCCTCATAACACATTTATACTTTTTTTGTTTATACACTTTTAAAATTGATTTATAATTAGTTGCATATGCATTTGTCTTCTCTACAAAATTAGAGAAGTTTATTATTATAAACCACATCAGTTTTTTCTGTACCTCCTCCCCAATCATCTAACCGTAAAACATAGGGCTCAATAAATGCTTGTTGATTTTAATGTTTTAGTATCAATTTTCATAATTAGGTTGCAGCTATATTATCTTAATTTTATACTAGATTACTAGTATTAAATTAAATCACAAAGCATTTGTTCTCCAACAATACAGTTTGTGATCATAACCAATTCTTTATAGAAAACCCATAGAGACTGTAATTGAGAAATGAAAAAAAATTCCTTATCATTTAGAGTAAAACAAAGGATATTTCCCTTTATAATTACTAAGACATGCCCTATCCTTAAGTTTTCTTGCCACAGTCAAAAGTCATCAGAATATAAAGCAAAAACAGGTTCACCACAATTATTTAATAAGGTCTTCTAAATGATCATTATTCCAACATCAGTCCGTCCAGATACATTCATAGAAAGTGCTAACCTCTTTTTCCCTGAATACCATTCGATGAAGAACCAATGTAAAACAAGGGGAAGCATAGCCATAAATCCAAGATACAGCCAGTCATAAAGTTCTGGAGACTCTGTGCATGGCTGACAGTATTTCTGTGCATTTGTTCTCTGTCCTCTTGGACACACCTATGACATAAGAACAATATTTTTTGTACAGATACTATTTTAGGGATTTATCTTAATATCCCAAAGTCATTCTATAAAGACATCTCATTTCAGTTTAAACATGTATACATGTGCATCTTTTAGAAATAAAAAAGAAAGTGCATATGTAAAATACATCTACATTGTATTTGATGTATCTGTATAACACTCTTTTAAAAGATTCCTTTCACCAAGTTACTGAAACAGTTGACTAACATTAAATGACAAACTTAGTTAATAACGCTACATAAAAATAATTACAGAGAAAAATTCTGGAGTTTTAATGTTAACTTACTGCCCAAGTCACTGCACTATAGCATTAATAAGTATTAGAAATTACTATAAAATTATAAAATGTTTTAAAAAAATGTTAATTGAGCCTGTCAAGAAAGATGTATTACAATTAATATGACAACACAAATAAGAATTTTATTAATGTGTCATAGTTTTATAAATTGAGTATAATGAAGAAAAAAGATATTCTACAAGAAAATATTCCAAAAGCAAAAACATTTTAGCAACAAAACAACATCGAAATGTTAATTAAGACTTACCCCACATTCTCCATATATTTCAGTTGAACCATTTTTAAATAATAGGGTCTTCCCACAGTAAAGTCCAAGGCAGGCTGGTTGAATATCGACAGCTTTTTAAAAACAAATGCCAGTAAAGTAACATCTTTTGTGATTATAAAATAATGTAATAACAGTTGAAGCACCTGGCAGAAATATCTCAACACAGTTGTTAAAAAGATACAGATTAACAAAAGTCTTGATGCACTTACTTTTAAAATCTAAAATTCCCCTTTTACACCTTGTCACTGCAGAAAGTTATATTGAAACCTTGTTGTTAATGCTATTGCTTATGGTTAAGAGCCATCAACCAGCAGAGTGGGATCTATCCCCAGAATTCAAAGCTTAACCTGGTATGCCTCCAGGGGCTCCAGCAGTAAGTCCCCTTGATTAGATGGACTAGACTTTTGCATTTCCACTTTTTAATTAGAAAGCTAACAGAGGATCACCACCCCTTATTTTTGCCCAGTCAGAACATGTACACATACACGCATACACTAAGACACACACACACACAGTATCACCTTCATTCTTAATAGAACACATTTTAATACCATAAAAGCAGAAAAGACGTAATTTCAAAATAAAGGCCAGGCCTTTAAAGCAAATAAATTCACCTTAAGAAAAAGCTTACAACATTGTCCTAACTTTGGTCATGTTTGTTGAGGACAGGTGAAAATTTCATCATCTGATCAGTATCTGGGATACTGATATCTACCTTAGAATCAACCCCCTGCTCTCAAGGCTTGGACAAAATAAAGAGCAGCTTTTCTTCACAAAAAAATACCTCAGGGCCTACAGATTGTCTTTGGCCTCATCAACAAGAAGTTATGAAACGTGTTTTGTTTTTTCTTCAGCGGAGACATCCGATTTCCTTCGTTCACTGATTCATTTATTCAATAAACGTGCATTAAGTATCAGATTCCCTGGCTAGGAACTTCTTAGAGAGCCACAGAGCAACATAACAAGAGTCCCTGCCCTCAAAGAACCTACAGCTTAGAGAAGAATAAATCTGAAACAACTGTGGTCAAATGTGAATTAATCTGGAAAATTGTGCATTTTAGGACTATTGTAGGGACCAAGGGCAGGCTCCCAAAATGAGCCACTTTGGAATACTGATTATTTTAAATAAAAGTTACTTAAGAAACAACAGGGACAAGGACATTCACACCTCTTCTGTCTCCCTGAAAGCAGTAAAAAGATATCCTTATTAACAGTGATAATGACTTTAAGGTCAAAAAAGCTGCAGAAATAAACCTTGTTACTTTTTTGCCAGTCTACTACCTTAGCCCAAACACCTGTTTTCCTTTTCCGGTAAATTCCTCACAAATTTATTGCCTCTTTGTTGATAATGTATAAAGAACTGCCTGCCTTGGTCATTTCTTTAGGTCTCAAGTTTCATAACTAGGCCTCCATGAACACATAAAACTTTTTTTTTTCCTGTTAATCTGTCTCACGTAAACTTAATTTTTAGTCCAGCTGGAAGATCCTGAAGATAGAGAAGACTTTTTCCTTCCTTTCACTATTGAATAATTTCCCAAATTCTTCATGAATTCACAACAGAGACTGCTTGGTCCACAATGCCCTTTCTCCTTTCAAATTCAAGTGGACTTTTGATTTCTTTCTCCCTGTGCTGCTGAGAAACAATAGAAATAGCACAAACTAAAATGTTTCAAATTTAATATTTTCACTTTTGCCAAGTTCCTGATTTTTTTAAATCCATGGGCTTCTTCACCTTATTTGGCATTTAATTCTTAATCAATTGTAATCACTACGCCCTAAACTACTAACAGACAAAAATGAACGGTTTCAAAGTTTTTGAGAAGACAGAAGTTAAAGAACTGGAGGCTTCTTCCACATGTGTTTTGCATCTAGTAGGTGTTTAGTAAATACGTCTGAATGTGAATAACCTGAAATTCTCAAAACCCAAGGCCCCGAAAACCACCATGATAAACTGAAAACAGCTCATCATGGACCAACCAAAACTACGGCTCCCGGTGTCCGTTCAATATCCCCTTCCCTTTCCCTTCACTGGAGGGTGGCTAAAATATTAAGACTTTTTTTTTCCTTTTTCCAGCGCCCTATAAACTTAACGCCTGATGCTCAAGCGGGCGACTTCAGCAGCGAAGAGCTTCCTCTTCCCTTACTGGCTGTCGGCCTTACTAACGCCCGCGCTTTAAATTTTGAAGTCGACCCTCACGAATGCTAAACAAAGGGACTAAAAGGGACCGAAGCGACCTCTCGCACACGACCAAGGCCTGGCATTTTGCCCTGGCACACACAGCCCGTTCCCCTCTACGGCGTGCCTCCTCCGCAGTCCGAGAGAGAACGAGACGACCCCGACCCCCAGGACAAGTCCAGGGACGGGGCGAGGCTGTGCGAGCAAGGGGCGAGGCTGTGCGAGCAAGGGGCAAGGATGCGCCGCTATCCGCAGGCCGCCCGCCGGGGCAGAGCCCAAAGCCGCCACCGTGGGGAAGAGACAGGGACTAAGACAAACGCTTCCCGACCCTTCGGGGACCACTCACCCATTGGCCGCTTGCTGGTCTCCCCGAAGGAGGTCCGGGATCAGCCGCCACTGTTAGCAGAGCCCGGACATCCGGCCCACAGCAGCCTCGGCGGCTCCGCCTCCTGGTAACCCGGGCGACCACCCCGAAGCCCCGCCCCCTCGCCCTTCCGGTCTCTGCTCCGACGCCCCGCCCCGGAGAGAACGCTCTCCCGCGGAGTAGGCGGTTGACCCGTGGGCTCCAGGTTCGCACTGCGGAAAAGTCGTCGCGTCCCGGGACTCCGGCGATGGAGAGGGCGCTGGCGGTGCCGCGGCTGCCCCCGCACGACCCGGGGATTCCGGCACTGTCGGTGGTGGACATGCACACGGGCGGCGAGCCCCTGCGTATCGTGCTGGCTGGGTGTCCGGAAGTGGCTGGCCCCACTCTGCTGGCCAAGCGGCGCTACATGCGCCAGCACCTTGACCATCTGCGACGACGGCTCATGTTCGAGCCCCGGGGTCACCGGGACATGTACGGAGCTGTGCTGGTGCCTAGCGAGTTGCCGGAGGCGCACCTGGGCGTCCTGTTCCTGCACAACGAAGGCTACAGCTCCATGTGCGGCCACGCAGTGCTGGCGCTGGGCCGCTTCGCCCTCGACTTCGGGCTGGTACCCGCACCCCCGGCCGACGTCCGCGAGGCCCGAGTCAACATCCACTGCCCGTGCGGGCTGGTGGCCGCCTTCGTGGAATGCGAGGGCGGCCGCAGCCGCGGCCGGGTGCGCTTCCACAGCGTCCCGGCCTTCGCGCTGGCCACAGGTAAAGGACGAGATCCTCCCAGCTCTGGGACGCAACTAACTACACTGTCTCTCTGGCCTGAAACTCACGCAGTGCAATTAACCCACCCACAAGCCTTTGCCATTAATAAAAAGATAACTCAATGCAAATGTGTGTCAGCATGTTAGCCTTGCAGATTTGTTCCGTGTATGCCGCAGATTATTTCGTCTGGGTCTTGAGGGCCTTCAGGAGTACAGAATTCCGTGTCTCCCTTACTAAGCGCCTTATGCCTCACTGTCAGGCATTCCTAGAGATTGCACAGTTGGGTAAGTCAGATAGGGTCAAGGCAAGAGCAAAGAACAGCCAAAGTGCCAGGGTTCACTGGCTGGTTCAGAAGACACTTACTAGACATTACCTCCTGACAAGTTACTAAACCCTGTCTTGTTTTCCTCACCTGTGAAAGTGCCTTCCCCATTTCTTTGGGAAATAATTAAATAAGAATGAATGAACTAAGCAGTTTATAAACCAGGAAGATACAGATGTTGCTGATTTTATTCTTGAAGAACAAAAACAGCTGTTGTCTGAGTCCAAATCCTGATAACCCCTTAAAGCTATGCAACTTTAATCAAATTACTAACCTCTCTGTGCCTGTATTTTTTCACTTGTTATCTCATTGAGTTTTTGGTGAGGATTTACTGAGAGTATGCAAAGTACTTAAAATTTTTAAAAAATACATTTCGAGAGACAGGAGGACTGTAGGTTTAACACCCAGTGCTCATCATAACAAGTGCCTCAATACCCATCACCCATTTAGTCTATCCCCCCCCACCTCCCCTCCAGCAACCCTCAGTTTGTTCTCTATCATTAAGAGTCTCTTATGGTTTGTTCCCCCCCCCCTTTTTTTTCCCCTTTTCCCTAGGTTCATCTGTTTCGTTCTTAAATTCCACATGAATGAAATCATACAGTATTTTCCTCTAATTTCGCTTAGCATAATACACTCTAGTGTATTATGCTAAGCCTCCACATTGTTGCAAATAGCAAGATTTCATTCTTTCAACGGCTGAGTAATATTCCATTAAATACATGTAGGTACATACATATATACATGCCACATCTTCTGCATACATTCATCAGTTAATGGACATTTGGGTTCTTACATTTCTTACAATTGGCTATTGTTGATAATGCTTCTATAAACATCGGGGGCATGCTATTAGATCTTGATCTTTCTTGAGGATTTGGACTCTAGATTAGCCTAATTATGAATGAGGCAGTAATAGCCCAAGCATTTGTCAGTCTTAGAGCAACCTCAGACAGCTGAAACACACAGGTTGATGAAGAATTCCCCTGGGGAAACTGATGGCACTTTGACCTCTAGGAGAAAATGATGTCACATCTGGATAGGGAGGGCACTTGAGATAGACAGGAGTTTGGTTAGGATTGCATCTCAAAAATCTCAGCAGTTTAAATAGTTTAGCTACCCAATTTCTCCTTAGGCAACCCCAGCAGCAGACTGGAAGCACTCTAGCTTCAAGGGAGATGACAGCTGGCAGCAGGGTCACCAATGACATCATAGTTCGGGGCTGGCTGGGGCAGGACAGCCAATCTGTAAGCACATAGTTCCTGAGAGCAACACTGTGTGACTATACGATAATTGGTAGGTAGTAATGGTCACTTTGAGTGATTAAAAAAGATCCTAAATTCTCTACTTTGAATAATGCTAAAAGGGTGGACTGACAAGTGTTCAAGGTTACTGCTCTATCCCCTCTCCATCTTGATGACCTTGCAAAAGGGATTCCACACTTCAAGGTCATCATCTGCAAAATGAAGATGACAACAGTATCCACTTCAGAGGATTGCTGAGTTGTTTTCCATTCCACACTGCTAAAATGAAAACTTCATTGTGTTACTGTGTTCAAGTGCTGGAACAGTAGGTAGTCAATATTTGTTGAATGGGTAACTAAGTAAATGAAATTGGGAGAAGAATATGGTGATTAACAAGTGTAAATATCCTCTTAAGAACCCTATTCCCCTTGGAAATTAAATTTTTGGCCTTACCATTAACATTAACAATATTGCTCATTTGTGCCAAGCGCTCCCCACACGTTATCACATGGAATTCACACAACAGTCCTTTCAGGCGGGAATAATAGTTCCTTTTTTTTTTTTTTTTTTCTGTTTAGCTCTTTCATTTTTTTGTAGTTGAAAAAAACAAATATAACATGAGATCTACCCTGTTAACAAATTTTTAGGTATGCAGTATAGCATTGTTAACTATAAGCACAATGCGGAACAGCATGTCTCTATAACTTCCTCCAACTGCATGACTAAATCTCTGTATCTATCAGGCAGTAACACCCTGTTCCCCCTCCCCAACCTTGTGCCTTGCAACTATTATTCTGCTCTGTTTCTAAGAGTTTGAAAAATTTATACACCTAATTCATGGGAGATTTTGCAGTGTTAATTCTATGACTGCCTTAATTCACTTAGCATAATAGCCTCAAGGTTTGTCCATGTTGTAGCACAGGACAGAACAGTCTTCATTTTTACGGCTGGATAATATTCCATTGTATATATCACATTTTTTTTTAAATCTCTTCATCCCTTTAGCAGTTCCATTTTATACATGAGGACACCAAATCCACACTTAGCTTTCCAGCTTCCAGCAGCCCCACTTTTCCATCTACTTCCTCATTCTCCTTTCGTTAAGGCTGATTTTTATGTTACACGAGCATCAAGATAAAGACATGTTTCATTCATAGCTGCTCTTAAGTTCCACAGGCATATTTTACTTTTTCGACTATAAACTTGCTCTGTTTTGACACATCATGTGTTAGAAGGGCTCTGGGGGCTAGCCTGGGACTGGGAGCGTACTGACTGGTATCTTTGTATGACTCAGTGTGCAAACTCAGGCATACACGCTGTATTTTATTTTTCAGAGTTTCTGAATTTGAGACCCCATCCTGCCTTGTTGATTTGCCTAGTCTCGTCAGTCTACATGCTGTCCCCTTTCCTGATACATGTGTAGCAAATCTTCCTTAAAAGAGCCAAGGTCTTGAAGAAGAGGACCTTTTGGTCACCAGCCTGCACAGTCAGCCAGTGAAGCATCATCTTCCCCTGGCCATGTGGCCCCTGTCCCTGCCTCCCCTCCTCTTTGTTACCTCTGTCACACCATGTAGCCTCCCCGTAGTGCTGTGAGAAGTCAGCATAGGTCCTCTGCACTCCAGACCTGCCACCTCTTTCCTCGGTCCAGAGGAAATGTCTCTACTGACCAAGAGAAATACGGGGACCCTTCAGGACACTGAAGTTTTATGGAAACTTGGACACTTGGGTTTTATGGAAACCCAAGATCTTTCCCCCCAGATCTTGGGTTTCCATAAAACCTGCTTTCTCCCCTACCATACACTCTCCCAGAGGTAGTGATCACCAAGACAGCTTGAATTGGGGAGGAGGAAGAGGAAAATGCAAGAAGGAGAAAAACAGTTTGAATATCCCAAAATATTATCCAGCCCCATTCTTTTGGAAATAAAAATTTAGGATTTCAAACAACTGACATTCTGGTGAAACTTTGGGAAAGCTGGGGACTTAGAATACTCTCAATCCTAACACAAAAAATACTGCAAACATCAGTGATTCTATAATGGCTTTATTCTGAGTATTTGCCTGCTTCATGAGATGAAAATACATAGATGAATTAGTATATATAACTTACATAGAAAAATCTTTTTTTCATTTTGTTTTGACATTATAGCTGAAGAAAGCCAATTTGTGAATAGGATCCAAAATCCTATATTAAACTATTCCTATTAGGGACACCGGGGTGGCTCAGTAGGTTGAGCGTCTGGCTTCAGCTCAGGTCATGATCCCTGAAATCGAGTCCTCCATCAGGCTTCTTGCTCAGCAGGTAGCCTGCTTCTTCCTCTGCCTTCTGCCCCCTTTGCTTGTGTTCTCTCTCTCTCTCCCTGACAAATAAGTAAAATCTTTAAACGATTCTTAATAGTAGAATGAGAGGGGACTTATATTTTCTGCCCTTGTTTTCACATGTTGATGCCTCAGGATTTCCCCTCTCTCTGCCTTTATAAGGTTTTCTAGCAAAGATCCTCAAAGTAGTTAACAAAATAAGTATACATGATTTAAGAAAAACATGGCATTAGATGTTCTCAGACTTAGATGAGTATCATTAAGTTAAAAATAGATCACTCAGCTAAACGTCTATTATTATTGATGCTTACTCATTTTAAAAATACTTCATTCTTTTCTATGATAAGAAAAAGTACCCCTCCACCAAAATACACATATTAAAAATGCTCTGAATTGTACTGCCAAA